GCCGCCCTTGCCGGGAATCGAACCCGGGACACCCGAAGGTGGTAGCGAGCGCCACAACCACTCGACTACACCCCCCTGTGCATCGGTTTTGCTCATCTTTTTCTCGAACCGGGGGCTCATCGATGGGCGGGGTCGGATCCCTCTGTCCCCAAATGCGCACAAGATCTGGCCTCTTTGTGCCGCCGACTCGGCCAAACGACCAAAACGGGCCAAAACCCGCCCGACGCAGGACTCGAACCTGCAACCTTCCGCTTAGGAGGCGGACGCGCTATCCATTGCGCCAGCCGGGCAGTCACGTGATTTTCGCGACCTCCCAGCATTATATACTCTTTGCATTAGTCACCACCAACCCGATGTGCATTGGTTTGCCAATGCGACAAAATCGAGAGCAGGCTGCCCATTGTGCCAGCTTAGCAGAATGTAGACTCTTGCCCTAAGCCACAGAGCATACGATTTTCCACAAATCCATCAAGTTGAACCGCAATTCCATCCAACAATATAACAAAGATGCAACCCCACACACTTTGATGGCATCTGAATAGCACAACCTGCCACATGTCATTTTGAATGTTTCTGCAGAATGAAACAATGTGCCAGTTGCTGTGAAGTATGCTCCATATCAAGCAATCCTGCTCGGCCTGTCTGCCCCCAAGATGCCCTGCTGCAATCAAACAAGGATGCAACTCAACCTCCCACTTTGATTTGCTCACTTCAGCGGCATATTTGGACTGTTACTTTCGGGGCGGGAGGTTGCAAACAAGGATTCCATGCATGAACACTCCGCCAATGAACAGCCTCTGTGTGGCCTGGTCGGGGATGGCAACTGTCGCGCCAGAGGCTTTGGAACCGTCCTCAACCATGAGTCGCTCAACGCGGTAACGGCGGCCATAATACTGGTCCTGCTCGGTGTTGTGCGAGACACGGATGATCTGTTGTGCAATGTAAGATTGCTTGCGCATGGAGTGGCACGCTGGTGCAACTCACGGCGGATGGCGACTTTGCCGAGTGGTCATGCACATGCTCTCGCCAGCCGAGGATGTTGCCAAAGCCTGTCAGGTAAAAGTCGCCAGATTGTGCATCAAGCGCAATATTGTCAACTGAGAAAGGCTGGTGGGTTTGTTACGGCGCTATTGTCAGCCAGAGCCCCTGCGATCAGTGTGCTGCAGCGCCAAGGAGCCCACCAGCTTGAGCTCGCCGAGCATCTTGAGTGTGTGCGACTTGCGCGGCTTGAACACCCGCATCTCGCCAGATGACTGCGAGACATAGATGTGCTCGCCGTCGGCCGAGCGTGCGATGCCGTTTGGATACGCCAGGTGCTCGGCAGCAACGATCCACTTGTCGATGCCGCCAGCAGCGGCGCCGGTGTCGTCGGCGCCGCCGCGGCGCTCAAAGTACGTGACGTGGCTCCAGCGGAGCGACAAGAGCATCTCGATCTGGCGCAGGAACCCGTGCGTCGCGAGGTCGTTTGTGGCGTAGAACGCCGTGCGGCCCACAGGCTGCACGTCGTTGGGCGAAGCCAGCAGCCTGGCGTTGCGTGCCGTCCCGATGCGCAGCAGCGTCGTGCTGCCCAATGTGTGCTCGAACATGTCAACGACAGACCCATCGCGCCGGTGGTTGACCGCATGCACAATCAGCTTGCCCGCGTCGGCCGGATCCGGCAGCAGCCCGATGCCGTGCGGCGTGAACTCGCCGTCGTGGCTCTCGAAGGCGAGGCGCCGTGGCGTGAGGGTCTGCGGGACGGCGGCATGGTGGCAAGTCAGCAGCGGGCAGAATGACAAAGCCTCCGCATCACACACCTTGGTGTCGAGGGCGACGATGCCGCCCGACCCGACGACGCTGCGGTTGGCGAGCTCGAGCGGCGGGAACCAGCCGCTGCGGTCGGCCAGGTTGATGGCGCAGGCTGCGACAGCATCGGTGTGCTCGGCGGTCAGCGTCCGAACGTCGCTGGCGTGGTGCTTCAAGCGGCGACAGGCGGGCAGCGCACCAAAGAAGATGGTGCCGGTCTCGGCATGCAGCTCGCCGTCCTCGCAGCCGCGGAGCAGCGGGTCTGGTGACCGGGTCGGGTCAGCGGTGGGC